TTTTCATGAAGCGTTCGTTGACAAATTCTACAAGACCACATACAGGCGCCATATCAGCTCGAAGCTGGAGGGTATTATTAGTCGCCTCTTGGGACAATCATTTCCAGTTGCATATTGTTGATATTTGTAACCCAAGGTGGTCACCTCTAGGCAATTGTGCCAGACTGCAGATTCCGGCACTGTTTTTTTGTGTTTGCCATTCCATTGTTGTCTAAAATACGCCCTCTTCTCTAAAACACGCCTTGTCTAAGATGCACTCTTGTCTGAGATGCCCTCTTGTCTAAAACACGCCTCTTGTCTAAGATGCACTCTTGTCTAAAACATGCCTCTTGTCTAAAACACGCCCTCTTATGCTAAAAAAGCTTGTCTAGATGCAGCTCTGTCTGAGATGCCCTCTTGTCTAAAACACGCACTCTTGTTGTGCAGAACTTTGGCTTTGTGATCTTCGACGACGAGACATCGGTACAGAAGGCGATGGAGAAGCCTCCGCGACCGTTCCGCGGAACGCATCGCCTCAACATCGAAGAGAAGAAACCGAAGCTAGCGCGCGGCGCCCCGGACATGCGCGGCGCCGCCGGAGACTCCGCCCCAACAGCGGCATTCGCGCCGCCGACACGCGGGCGCCAGCCGGCCCGCCGGGCGGTCCGCACCGCATCGGCGGCCGTGGAGGGTTACAGCCGCCGGACGCAGCCGCGGCGGCAACGCGCGCGCGCGTTATAAAGAGGGCGGCTAGTGAGGCGTAGGGGCGGCTGCGGGTGTGACGGAGGCAGGAAGGCCGTCCAGAGACCGCCCGCGGTTTCTGTCTGGGCATATCACGTTTGTTTGCGTCGGGTTGAGCGCGCGCGAGTAATCGGTGCTTTGTGTGGGGAGCACGCTGCCGTCGACGTGGCGGGGCGAGGCGGGTGGGGGCGCGCGACTGGAGGGAGGGAGCGCAGAGAGCAACCCACTCGTGGTGCCGCCGCTGTTTTTGTGATCGTAGTGTTTGCCCCTGTTTCGTCCCTCACCAGCCTCCCTCCATCCCCCGCTTGCCTTCCTTCATCCCTCCGTCGCTGCGCTCCATCCGCTCCGCTTGGCCTCCATCCCTCCCGCGTCTGGCTTTGTCGCCTCTGTTCTGCCCTGCGTGTGTGGCGCGCGGTTGGGCAAGGTGTGGGTGGGAGTGTCTGTTATCGCGAGTCTCTGAGCTTCGTTTCTCCCAGCGTTGGTTCGCGTGCGTGCGTGCGGCGAGGGAGGAGAGAGAGGAGGGAGAGATGGTCGGGCATCGCGGGAGGTAGCGGGAGCATCGCGGGGAGGTAGCGGTGATTGCATGCATGGCATTCTTCTACCCGGCTCCCCGCGTTTTTCGGTAGCGTTGAGGGTATTTATTTTTTATGACAGACATTCAGAATATTGGAGCGCGACTCGGTGGATGGGAAATCGCCTCCGGTCGCCACGCCGACGGACCTGAACAACGCTCCCCCTCCTCCGCGCGGTCGCCGCTCTCACCAGGTGGCGTTGAAGCTTCGTCGAGGGTACCCCGCTCCGCGGTTCGTTCCCGTGTGCTCGCTTTTGTCTGTGATATAAAAATACTGACTAGCTGACGGCGCAGCGGTGGGGTGGGTTGAGGGAGTTACGGTCGCTGTGTTCGATCGAAGATGGCGCCGCGATGTGATCATCGTTTCATGTCGTTGCCGTCGACGCTAGGCGCGTGGCCAGTGTCGCCGTTCGCAAACAATAGAACGGTTGTGGCGGCGGGCGGGGGGAGGGAGGGGTTTTCCGCCGCGCCCCCGGCCATTGTTTAATCGTGGGGTGTGGTCGTTCACGCCCGGTCGGATCCGACGATCTGATTGGTTGTCGGAGTATCCGCCGGCGGGCGTAATTTTGACATAATTTTTTACCGAAAGCAATTTTTGAAACGATTAGTTTTTTGATGAGTGTTTGTTTATTTATGAACGCAGGAAGGGGGGAAGCGAGCCGCGGGGCGACGGTACCCACGACGACGCGACGCGCGCATGTGGCGCCACCTGATGGCGTCGATCGCGATATCTGCTCGCGATACGTTAGTTTTTGCTGTGTGGGACATGAACGGTGGCAGGGAACGCACTGCAGTCACCAGGTGGCGCTCCGGCAGCGCGTGTTGCAGACTGATTCTCGCGGACGCGGGAAAGGTGCGAGTGAGATGGGCGCCGACGCGCGGCTTCTCCGCCCCTGCGCACAGTGGTGGCTGCGTTGCGGCGCCCGTCTAACGCGACCGTGTGTAAATACTGTACCCTCTCTCGTGATTCGTCGTATATATCGCTGCAATTTTCCGGTTTTTTGATTGCTTTGCATCCTCCCCTTCCCCCCCGCCTGCACCGCCTCCCCCACAGAACTGGATGCTTCAGGACCAGTGAGGGGGTCGTGGGGGGAGGAAGGCGAGCACATCTGCTCCCTCCCTCCCCCCCTTGTCGGGTGTGCAAAGTGCGCGTGATGGTTGCCTAGCGGGCGCGAGTTCTTTGATTGTCGTCTGCGGTGCAGAGTGAGCGTCGCGGCCGTCATGGCGTCGCGGCCGTCATGGCGTCGCGGCGGTCCGCTGTAGCTGCTGGTCCCTCCGCGCTCCCCTCTCTCCTTCCTCTCTCTCGTTCCTCTCTCTCCTTCCTCTCTCTCGTTCCTCTCTCTCCTTCCTCTCTCTCGTTCCTCTCTCTCGTTCCTCTCTCTCCTTCCTCTCTCTCGTTCCTCTCTCTCGTTCCTCTC